AACAAAATATTAACCTGAAGCTCCTTGGACCTACTATAAATTGGTCTCAGTTTGTGCTAGAGAATCCAAAGTTATCTTTGGTGAGAGTGTGCAATGTGGACTTAAACCATGTTGAACTCATTCTGGGAGCTGACATGAAGCTGAGCACTCTACCTGTGAGATCTATGGACAAGCAGGTCAAAAATGAGGATGGAATTCTGGCCTATGAAACAAAGCTGGGATGGAGCAACTGTCTGTGGTCTACAAAGGTGTGATCAACTGCCCCACATCCATCTCTGGAAATGTTGAAAGCCAGCAGCTAGCTGAGCTTTCCCCACCTTACCATATGGATCATCAAAATCTGCTGCTGACAACCTTACTGACCTCACCTTTGGGAGAACAGGTACAATCAATGAACAGCCAGAGTGTCTAAAATGACTGGAATCTTCTCCACTTGATGGAACTTATTGTAATGAAGCTGCATCTGCCCCTCCTGGGGCTGATGATTCACCTGGGCTGTCTGCTCATCCTTTGGAGAAGCTATTACTGTTGCAGAAACCTGCCTTTGAAGAGCTTGATGCTAAGCAGACTGAGCCTGTTCAGGAGACTCAACCCCCAATTTTCCTGAAGGAGCATACAGCTTTTCAGATGATTTTGACTGTCCTGTTTGCATTTTTGACAATGTATTTGTCATTAGTATCAGTACAGGCAAACTGTTTGCATGTGCTTGATTAAATCTCAAAAGCTCATTTTCTGTTGGAAACTCTAAAATTCACTGCTCTGTTGTGAATACAACTTTTGGATGGGAAATTCTATGGAGTTTGTTCTATTTGCCACATTAGTCAGTTTCTGTTGAAAATGAGCAGCATCTTTGCATGGGTCTTGCCCATACCACAACAAACTGATGTCCCTGGCCCTCTGGTCTCAACTTGACCTGACCACTTCCGCAAGCATCCATCCTACTCAGGTGCTTGACCAGTGAGCTAGCTGAGGGCACCCACCTTAAATTCAGCGTTTCATGACGATTAGCTTACAATTGCTTGTAGCCACCAGTCTAGGCACAATAACACATATGTATATTTCAACATTTTGAGTCTTGCTGTAGGTTGAATTTTGGGGCAGTTGAATTGTGAGTCTGCCTCTTAGCATATTTGACCATCAAATTGCATGATGGACAAATTGTGGGAAGTCAAATTGTGAGGTACCACCTACATCAAAATTATTTTCATCAAGTTATTTCTCTGAAAAATTAATCATGAACAGGTACATGATTGTTACAATTTTATGCATGGACAACAAAAAGGCATGTCTCTAAATTTTTGTTTAAAAAATAAGTTGCATAAGTTAATTACACAAATCAAAGTGGCATAACAACAGCAAAAAAATTTGAAACCTTGTTTTCAAAAATGGTAGGAACAAACATATTTTTACAGGTTTGAACATTGAATCTATGCTCACAATGATTTTGTGTTACAATGTTCTGGAATGAATCAACTGGGCTTGAACAGAAGTAACACACTTTGCACACATGGGAAAAAATAGGATAGCTCTCTAGCACAAAGAGTAATATCCTGGCAAATGCTAGTTTCCTAGTTTGCAGTTGTTGACATGGACAGTATGCTGATTTGATGCAATTGCTTCAATTCTCCCTGATTTGAACCATGAATTGAGGACTCAGGGAATGCAAAAATTTTCTCTCCAATGATGATATTTGTTGTACTTCAGCACATTTCATTGAATTCCAAAAGAAAGTAAATCCTAAAGAAAGTATGATCCTTGATTTACTTCCATCTGCTGATGACTTTTGGAAGCAATGAATGTCATGTGATTATACATAGGAGATAATATAAAAATGTGTCTTCTCTCTTAAATATGCAAGGAAACTGAAATATAGAAACATATGACAGCTTTTGAACATAACTTGAGGAGGTGAATTTGTAACTTCCTTTACTGAAATGTATGCTGTAGAAGACTCAGCATAGATTCAGCAGCCAAAAATAATGTAATGCAACAATTTATTATGGAGATGGTAAACAATTTAAAATTCTGAACATACTGTATATTATTATTCAGTGAAAGTGTATGGTCAGTTGTATCCCAAAATGGTCAGTTGTATAGCGTCCTATGTATACAGAATTACAGACCAAAGAGCAGAGAAACTGACTTGCAAATGGAAGCTCTGTATCCCTAATAAATTATAGACACATGATATTGGCAGACACTCAAAAATCAAGCACAACACACTCATTCAAAAGGCATTGAAAATGTTTTTGCCCCTTCTCCATGATTCAGTCAAAAGTTTGAAAGTTAATGTCAACTTACAAAGAACTCTGGCTGACAGAAGGACAATTCTATTGAAAGACTGAAGAGTCATTTTTTGATCAATGCCAACAGTTACCAGATATTGTACCTCAATTTCCCTCAATTTCACCTCTACTAGCAAACAATTTTTGTACATTTTTATTGCAGAGGGTTTCATGCTGCTGCTTCATGATGCTGATCTTACCCTTCCATATGCAATATATTTGACAAAATGAGTAATACTTGAAAATAAAAACTGTGAAAATCTGAAAACTGAAAAGAAAGTCATAAATCTGACACTTTCAAAAACAGAAATGAGTATAATTTGTATGATGCTACTGTACAGTATTTATTCAAGTATCACATGGCCTTGCATTTTCAGCTCAACTTAACTGCCCGATTCTATCCCACACAAAATTATTCAACATAAGGTGCTTACATTGGTTAACAGCTCCCAATTTTAATATTTTAAAAACTAAATGGTTGAGGCAAGAATCTGAATTTAAACCCACATAGAAGTTGACTTGAATGTTGATGTTTCATCATTATGAGACAAAGAATCTTCAGGAAGATAACTTCACAAAAAATTAGAGGTTGGAATAAGTTCAAGGTTTCAAAACAAATAAACTGAACATTTTTACCCACAACTACAACATGCACAAGGACCTAATTTTGCTTCAGCTTCTTTGCCAGGCCATTATGAGGAGAAAAAGGAGGGGGAAGAGAAAAGGATTGCCTAAAATTCTTGGAATTGGGTTGTAGGAGACCCAATTTTCACGTTCCCAGCCCCCTGGGTTTTGGTTTCTGACTTTTCCAGTGAGAAGGACAATTATTCAGATTTCCCTTCTGCTAAAATGCAGTTTTGGAGTCGCATTTTATGGCCCAATTCCGATGTTGTTTTATGGCCTTGGTTGACAGCAAATTGATTGCTGTTGCCATTTTTGGCAGTTGCGCAAGCTCTAATGCCCGCGCAGAAGCAGTGCTCTCTCTCTTCCTCTCTTTAGTTTCTCACACCATGATATAGAAGTAAGCAACAAAAATGTTTCCAGCATTTTTTTGCAAACTATGTTGGACTTTCTAGAACTGACTTGAGTGTTGGCAAAAGCACTGATGAAATAGGGCCGTTTTTTGCTTTTATACACACTATTGAGTTTTAAACTGAGATTTTTTGTTTGTTTTACTGTTTTACTATAATTGGGAATGTTTATGACTGGATAGTAGAGTACTTGTGGTACCTGCAATGGCCCACGCCACGTAAACACACATGCGTACTTTCAGCAGGGTTTCTTTGAGGAACTTGTTCTTTGATTTATTTTCAGAAGATATGTGGAGTTGAATTGTAGGTACTATATAGTGGATTTTGTTGTAGTTACTACGATATAGTTTGTTTCATGGTGCAGTGTGCAAGTATTGTAAAATTTTGTGGATAACTCTTGGAATATGTATGAATTTTCAATAGTCTTGAATCTTGAAACATAGTACAGTCAAACCCCCTTAAACCGCCAATGTTTGTCTTGTAGAATTTTGGCGGTTTAACGGGGTTGGCAGTTTATGGAGGGAGGGGGCCCCTGTTAAAAAAAAATAGTTCCGATGCCCACCCTTCTCCACCTGCCAGGTCATTCTTTGTTTCTTGGGAGCTCTCCCATTGTATACATATTAAGACGCAACAAAACAAAAATTGTATGCTGAGTTTAAAGATACATTTTTACAAAGTTAGTTAGGATGGGTTACTGTACTTAAATTTGGATTATTTGGGGCAGGTTAATTTAAATTGATTTGATTAATATAGGGAGGGGTCAATGAGTTTTCCATTTTTCCAATTTCTCTTGAATGAAACTCTACATAAATATTGAGGTGGAGGGGAGCATGGGGCAATGAAAGGCTGGAAGGAATTATTTTTGGCATAAAAGTTGAGAACAAAGTCAATCTGTTCTGTCAAAAACAAAAATTCATAAAATGGAAGCAATTATATTTAAAGTTTTCAACCACAACATCAGTTGTATTCTAAAATTTACACATTTATTATCTACAAATTTGTTCAATGAGTGCTCACTCCTGGACAATGAATTGTGATTTTTTTTTCTGGCCATGCCACCTTGGATAAGATTCTGAAATTCAATTGCCTTGGAGTGAGGAAAAAACATTGGCGGATTAATGGGGTAAAAAACAATGCAAATATGCCGTTTGTTCTTGAAAAAAAAATTGGCAGATGGCGATTGGCAGCTTAATGGGGGTCTCCTTTGGCTTAAAAATTAGGGAGATTTGTTTGGGAGGAAAATGTGGCAGTAACAGAGGGTGGCGGTTTTTCAGGGGCAGTTTAACGGGGGTTGACTGTACTTCAAATCACAGTGGGGTGCTAAGATGCAGACATAATTGCTTCTTGAACCTTTTCCCTATATGCGGGAAGATCTACATATAATATCAGTTCACATTTTCTCACAGATTTCAATGGTAACACTCTTAATCACTGCTAGTTTTTTGCAAAAAATTTGAGTTCTCCAACAATTAAAATTGTTTCTCTACTGCAAGACACAAAAATGTTTGAAGACATTCCACTAAAGCTGCATCAATCATTGATTCTTAACTTGATGTTAGCAAAAGCAGAAACTTCTCAAGTACCTGCCATATAAAACCTTTCAAAATTTTTTTGAATTTTCCAAAAACATTTTTATGATAAAAACGGGTCTAAAGGATATAGAAACACATGGATGGCAACATGTCTCATCAAACAGGCGATTTTCATTCATATAGTCCGAGTCGAAATTTCGATGGAAACCTTCACTGATACCTTAGCCTTCGCGCCAAAATCTCGTGCGAGAGAATCAAGCATAATCAGGCTCCTGCACTAAAATAAAAAAAAACGGAATTTAGCATTCGTTCGTTTCCAGCCAGAGATATTCCTTGCACCTTGAAAACGAAAGGGTGTTTTCAGGTATTTACGATCAAGTGACTCGGAGGAGTAATTTAAATCGTTTGAAAGATATTCAAAATCGTTGAAAGTAAACGTCCTTTCCTACAGAGATTTCACTGCACCGCATCTGCGCATTAAAAAAAAATCCCCACATTCTAGAATGCTTTTAAAGAGAGGACTATCAGCTTTGGATTATGTTATTTTCGTGGGATCCTTGCTGGTGGCATTGGTCATCGGAATATGGAGATTTATCAGATCAAAACTAGTTGGCGAGGAGTTTGAAGCTGGACCCAAGACGCAAACCGCTGCCGAAGAAGCTTTCATTTCGAAAGGCAAATACATTAACTCATTTTTAACAAAGGTATCTTCCTACAGGTTGCAAAGCCAATTCAAATTCATGAAAAAACGAAGCACTATATGCACAAGGTTTCTGGTGTCTTATTTGCAATGTTGGCATGTCATCATGTAATCCATAGCTCAGTTTTTTGTTTTGCTTTTACAAGATCCATTTTAATTGACAGGAGCATACAAAATTTGAAGCATCTGCAGAGCAAGGCAAACAAGGGATGTGAGTTTTGAGCATGCTGTGAAAACAGTGAGACCCTTAAATGCGGAAGTAATTGGTGCATGGAGAGTGTCCTACTCCCTAAGTTGAATTGTACCTCAGTCAAGTCTTATTTTCCCAGCACATAGACTCACATTATATAATTTTTAATTGGTGTTCTATGTGGAATAAATATTTTTCAGAATTCAATGAAAAATTGTCTGCCACTTGAATTTGATTCAGTGATTATATTTTCAACTCAATAAGAACATTTGGAGCATTGAATAGTGTAGCTCTGTACTGCATGTACATTGAAATGTTGGCATCTACTAAAATAGCATTCAAGTCACAAAGAGAGGAGGAAGTCCCTCTATGCAATAGGTAATTTTTTTAATAAGCTCAATGGGTGGGAAAATGATGGGAGCCATGACAAAGAATTTTTCTTGCATACATCTTAGGGCTGGAAATATCTGTTTCTTGCAATCAAGACAAATAAAAGATGATTAAAAAAATTATTGACCTTTTTTCATGCAATGTCCTCATGTTGAGTCAGTGTCCATATATGTTGGGGCTTTTTTATGCCCTTTTTATTTAAAAATCTGTTGATCTCTTCCATTTTATTTACAGCAAGTAAAACAATATCACGATTTCAACACAGTGGAAAATTCCCCTATTATAACTCATGGAATGTATAATTAGTTATACATTGCTGTATTGCTGATCAATCCCGCTTTATATTTAGGACTTGCCCTCTTTCCGGTGGTCCTCTCTTTGATGGCTTCATACAACTCTGCAATCATAATCTTTGGCAAGTAACTTCAAATTTCTGCATTTCAGATGGATTGGAACATTTTTAATGAATCGTTTCAGGACATCCTGCTGAAATCTATGCATACGGAGCACAGTACATGGTGAATTCTCTTGGCCTAATAGGAGTTGCTGCAGCATCTTTCATTTACGTTCCTGTCATGTACCCATTGAACCTCAGTAGTTCATTCGAGGTAATCTTTCCAAAGAAAACTTCAGATATGTTTCTGAATGATCCGATCATCCGAATAATATTTTTCAACTTTAGAGTTGAATTTTGTCAATTGCATGATCATAATTGGACATTTTCAACCTTTATTTTGTGCTGGATAGTGCTATGTAATTTCTTAAGGTATGGAACCTTTGCATATCCAGTTGAACCTCTCTAAGTGGAATTTTAAGGGACCAGCAAAAAAAATTGAATTATAGGGAGGTTTTGAATTATAGATGTTTGAGCTACAATACAAAGCTCTTTTTATTCTGGAAAACATGGAACAATTTTCCAAAATTGTAAATGGTGATATTCTGGTGCTTAAATTACTTCTTTATTGAGTTCAAAGGATTCAGAACTTGGAGGCAGGGGTTCATTTGCCCCATTGACTCTTTCACTTCCTTTTAAAAGACATCAATTTATGTTGTGATTTCTCTTTTCTTTATTGTGTCAAGAAAAAAAATTCCAACACGCCACAGAAAATTTGACTTATCAAGGTTTGTGGGGAAAAACCTTCAAATTAAGTAGTATTTTAATGCGTTGTTTCTAAGGAGATTCAGACAGGGTCCTGAACTGACCCGGGGTATTTGACTTAGGGGGTTTCAGTTATCCAGATTACCTTACACCTTCTGGGTACCAACACATGTTATATACAGTGGGATATCTTCAACTCAAATGTCCCTATGTCAAAAACCAGCTTCTTTATCTGGATTTTTTAGTTACAAAAATTAGTAGTCCCAGTTTTCCTAACCCCAATAATGAATAATCTGCATAAGTTTAATTTTTTTTTGCCTGTTCAAATATGGTTTAAAGAGGTCAACTGTAGAAATTGCTCATTGTAAACCATGTATACTGTAACACTTCAAATCATGCTTTGTTCATTGCATTATTCATACAGACATAGTGGGCATATGATGTTCAATGTACCTGTGGATGCATGTCACTGCAGCTGCAGCTTAACACTTGTGTGGCAAAGTTGGGATATTTTTTTCAAAATTGTGTGTCCAGCATACTCCAGCATGAGCACTGAACATTTAACCCTTGGGTGGCAAAGTTGGACTATTTTTGCAAAATTGCGTTACACCTCAGGGCAGAAAATAAAAAAGGGTAACAGGGATTTGAGGACAAAGTTGGGGGAAAATCCGATGTTTTTTTCTTTTTGCACAGAAAAAATTTGTGGGAAAATTAAAAAGCAATTGGCTTTTCTTGGATTAATCCGGATTTTGCCTCAGCCCACCTGGAAGGTCTTTTCTGACCTTCAGAAAACTTAAAACGCCACAGCATACAAAAATAATTTGATTTTGGCCAGCAATGGGAAAGAACCCTCCACTGTCCAAGGGTTGAAAAACCTATTTTTGTACCAAGGCCCAGGTTGGGAAAAAGTCCAATACAAAGGGACCCCTATACTGTGGACACAATTGGTGCTTTTGCCATTTCTGTAAATCAGATCATCTGCATGTTCTCATTTTCTTGTGCATACCCAGCAAATAATGTTGCCATTGCAACCTGCATTGCAACTCCATTGGCACCCCATTTTGACTCGATCGTTGGGCTAATGGTCGTTTGGTCACCCTAAAACGGCTGGGGGAGCATCGTTCCCTGTGTTGTTCTGGAACGCATGCTAGCATGGGTTCCCAACGCCCTCAGTTTCCCAGCATGCATGCGACCACCCCCCACCCGCCCTTTTAATTACTGTTGTACAATTCATTCAGAAACCCATTGCACATCCATTCTGAAAA